ATAAACGAGATTCAGCAATGAAAATCCATTAAAATAAGAACAAATCACCATTGCTTCGAAACAAAGTTTCCTATCACACAGTGAATACGCTTCAACACTTCCTATGCGGATCTTGTACGTTGTTGAAATGACCGGATTTTATGTTTAAAAAAAAAACGATTCGCTCAACCCTACGGATACATTTGGAAATGCGATAAAGTTTGTAGCATATTATGCCAGCTCGTATATAATCAAAACAAAAGAAAGACTCAAGAACGGACAAAACATAAGGAAACGAATGTTTTTTCTTGTCAAAATGAGCAGAAATTCCAGGGTAAAATCATAATATCGTCCAATTCTTTACAAGCATCATAATTGTCGATTATAAAGCACATAAATGCCCCGATGATGAAATATCCTCTACAAATTTGCCACCAATCATAAATTCTTTCAAACTCTTATGCTCAGCATTCACTTGCCGCGCCGCCATTGTGCTTGCTACAGCCCCATCACTTTTTCAACGAAGAAAATCCGATTCTCGGTTGTCTGGTGTTGGAATATTGCAACAATTGAAGCATTTGGAGCTAAATGGCATAATGTGACGCCATGGAAGCTGCACACACGCAAAACGTAATGGAAATTAATATCTTTTTACCTCGAACCATAAGCGAGCAAAGTAAATGGAAAGAGCGAATGGCTGCAGTTATATTAAATCCGGCAAAAAGTGCTAAATGCGCGATTAGATTCAGACCAGAGCCATGTAGTATGCGTGATATAGCTATAGCACACTGAAACACATTTCTGTTTATTCTCCATTTGCGCTCGATCATTTTTTTGGTGAAGTGAGCGTAGATTCAGCAAATTTATATGCGAATAATTTATTTGGAAATGTCTGAAACGGGAAAATTTCTGCTACGCTATGCTTGCTCATAAAATCTAAATAAAAGAAGGGATGTTTTTCGTGTCGACATCATCGAATGAGTGTGCCTCGTTGTGATTGCAAGCAACAATGTCAATGTGAAACGGTGTGAAAGTTTCCAAGAAAAACGACTATCATGAAGATGAGCTGATTACAACAATCACGACTGACTGCAAATATACAAAATGCAGCAAGAAAATGCTACACCCCAAATAAAAACAATCGTATCATGGATTTTTTGCTTGAACAATTTGATCGAAATAAAAAAGTACAAGATTCTCAATTCGATTATATCAAACGGTATTTTGGTTCTATCGATTGGAGGCCAATTTTTAAAAAAATAAGATACATGTAAGACAGTATCGAAATATATTGTCAACTGTATTCGATACGATTCAATAAATAAAGTAGCAGAAAGATTTTTTTCACGACGAATCTTCTATTCAATATTTGTAGAGTTATAGTGCAAAACAAAATTGTCAACTGTAGCTGTCACAGAAACAATACAAATACATAAACATCACAAGTTCAAAGTATCAAAGCGAAGTAGCCAAGTAGTGAGCGCATGTATTAGAATGTATGTTTCGCTCAGCATATTTTTCTCTGCTGTTATGGCGTGTACGTTTTTTGCTTGTATACATGTATTGTTTCTGTGACAGCTACAGTTGACAATTTTGCATTATATGTTTTGCTCCATAATATAGATGACAACTAATAAAATGAATTAAAAAAATTATTTTTTTATTAGTTTTGAGTATTGTTTTAATAGTTTGACTTTAAATCCTTCAGGATTGAGTCAAAAGAGAACAGTGCATTTACGTCGCTCAATAGGTCCTTATGTTTAATTTGAAATATGAAATGAAAATGTGACAAAATTTCTGTTTGTATTAAAAAAGCATGTGAAACATACAAGAGTAAAAGTCTCTCAACACCCAATTATGGTATCATTTCCAGTTAATTCAAACATCACAGCAATAAAATGTTGTACTCATAACTGTGGGAATCGTTTTATCGAAGAATAACATTGGAACGAAACCGTTGACATATAAAATGTTCATATATGCATTGGATTTGGATTTTACGCCACCCACAATTGGTAGATGAAAGAGACAAATCGTCTACCGATAAAAAGAGAACACGAGCACAATTCATTTTGTCCCTATCAAACTAATGAATAAGCTGCTGCACGCATGCACACACCGTTTGGCAACTTCGTTATCTACATGGTGTTTGGTGATTGGTTTACAGCGTTTATGTGTGCGTGAGCAACACAACAATACATATTCACATCGGCATCATGTTCATGTAATGGATAAAGTGTATTATACACACAAGCACCAGTGAATACTATTTCATCCAGTTGGTTCACAATAAAAGTGTCATTATTTCTTCCAAAGAGGTTCGCCATTTCTTCGTAATATAATCGTTGAGTAAAATGACACAACATATAGTAACATTTAGATGATTTTATTCAGCTAACGCAGAAATCAGTATCTTTGAAAACCAAGCGTAGAATGGTTGCCCATTTTGAATGACAAAAATTGAACAATTATATTAAGTTATTCGATTATCTTTGATAATGTCTTTTCACCTTCAAAATGCGGACAAAATTAAATTATGTTTGATTAGCAATTCTATTCACCAAATTGATGAAACTCTCACATTTTCTACGAATCGATTTTGTTGATGTGAACCCCGAATTGTTTCCAACATTGTGAGTGTGTTAATATGTGAGGGGGTACCGTGGCATCAACATCTTAAACGGTTACAGCGTATTATTGTCAAAAATATATTGAATGTGTCACTCTTTATAGTCTGTACGAGCGTTTTGTTCACGCCCATTTGTTGTTGCTATGTCTACGCGAGTAAATGGCTATATGTCAGAATAGTAATCAGTTTAAATTTCATCATCAAAGCGGAAACTCATGTTCAAACATTCTACATAGTGACAAAACCAAAACCAAAAAAAAATGTTTCATTTTAATTCTACATTTATGAATTGATTGTGCAACAAATCGTGAAACACCACCAAAAAAAATTGAATCCTCGCAAATTGAAAATAAAATAAAAATAGTTTGAATTTTGTGTGATACGTGGAATAAAAATGGATACAAATACAGAAAATATGCAGCATATGGATCCAACACTTCGTCGCTACCGCACAGCGTTTACACGTGAGCAATTGGCGCATCTCGAAAAGGAATTTTATAAAGAAAATTATGTGTCGCGTCCCCGTCGCTGTGAACTTGCCGTTCAACTTGGTCTGGCCGAGTCGACAATTAAGGTGTGTGTTCATTTTCGATTTTCAAATGACTTTGAGTGCAATAAAAATTGAATCTCATGAATCACAACAGTGCCAGTTTGATTGATATTCGCCGCCAGTGTAAAACAAAATGTGGTTTTTCTTTTATTTGTATTTTTATTTTGGTATTAATCACCTCAAAGGCTTCACCCGAATAGTATGAAAGAATTGTGATGAAAAATGAAAAAGATCTATACCAAAGTAACATTTCACACATTTACAAAAGCAATCTACGGTATGATATCGGTACAGTTCATAAATGTTTTGATTGAATACGATTTGATTTAACTTTTTCTTCGAACAAAAACCGTCTGGAAGTGCACTTTGTGCTGATGATGAATTTAGTCATAAAAATTCTTGGTGTTTTTTTTTCTTTCGTCCTCCTTGTGCTCTTACCAAATTTGTAAATATCGCGGATGGATATTGCTTTGTGCCGGCATATTCAAGCGCTAATTTCACTATTGTTCAAATATATTTTACGAATGATGAGTTTGAGCTACCGAAAAAACTCATCGCTCATTTACCACACATCAATAAACATCTAATAAAAAAAAATTAACCCGATTGTGTCTGTGTGTGTGTTCACACTGCAATCAACGAATTCGATTTGTTTATTCGGGTTATTATCAACATCTTTTAATATTTCCCTTTATCTTTTGCTCAAACGCTCCATCCTACCATCAACACCGTGTGGGAATTGTGTGGCTATGAACTGTGAATTGTGTAAATAATATTGCCGTTGAATACCTATGTGAGAAAATTATTTCGATGCCAGCCAATTTTACGAGTGAATTTTTATCACTTAAGTGCTAAGTGGCCAATGCTAAGTTATTTTAATTTCTTTTTTTCATTTGATGTGTTGGTGTAGTGCCAGTTGATTTACTCACGTTTACATATCCATGAAATCGTAGTTTTTGTTATTGTTGTTGCTTTGACCGAAGACAAATCGATTTATTAATGAAGCAGAGCAGCGCAAATGTTATCGATGATTTAAAGAAAAAGAATATAAAAATCCAATTACGATCATCATTATTAGCATAAACTGTTGTCCTCTTCTTTTCATATTTCCTTAAATTCCATTTCCGTGCAATTTCATGGTTATTGAACGAATGAAAATATTGTATGCATTTAACCATTGCATCAAATATTTGCTTTTCCCATAATTTTGTTAGCTATACACACAAAGCACTTATTTATTGTTTACACTGAGTTATACAAAGTTGAATTTTTCACCAAATGCCCATATTCCATACAAATATTTGCTTGTTTAGTTTTTGGTTTTAGTTGGCTACCGAATGGTACCCAGTCGGAACTATTTGATTTGGATGTTCGGCAATTTTGTTGATCTTTGATTGGATTGGACATTGAATCTGAATGTTTCTTTTTTTTTATTCATTCTATTAATCAAATTTAATTTGTTAAATGGTGCAGGTTTGGTTCCAAAATCGGCGAATGAAGGATAAACGTCAACGTATTGCTGCTACGTGGCCATATGCCGCTGTCTACGCTGATCCAAATTTTGCTGCTTCACTACTTCAGGCGGCTGCCAGTTCCGTCGGTATGCCATATTATGCGCCAAATCCGATGATTCCACAAATATCCCTCATTCCACCAACACAGATTCCATCATCGGCAGCAAATCCGTATGCATACGGCTACCGATACTCACCGTATCAACTTCCGCATCGAAATTCAACGGGCATTCCATCACCTCAATCACACTCGTCACCTTTATCAACACCACCCAATGGAGCAATAATCGCAAATGGTTTGAACACTTCATTCAACAGCGATTTCTTACAAAGTCCCAGTTCATCAAGGTCACCACTGTCACTATCACCAGTTTCAGAATCAGAAAAGGTGAAGAATTACTTTAGTTTTAATATGAAATTTAAATATTAATTCAAAAATAAAATGACATTGTGCTCTTCAGCGAATGTAGAATAATTTGTCATATTTTTCTAGTTTGTTCCTGTGCAAAGTTTGCTAAAATCACAGCCGCCTCAAATTACACAATTCAACAATAATAATGCAGGTGAAACAACGATTTCCAAATTGGAAATACCAAAACTATTCCAACCGTATAAGTCTGAATGAAAATATTTCTACATAGAAGGAAAGTAAGCAGTTCATTTTCCAATACAAATTGCCATATACTGTATCATAAATTTCTTTAGGGACTAAACAAAATTAGTGTTGGAATTAATAAATAAGTAGCTGTACTTGAAATAATTGTATGTTTTAAAGAGTTTTTTCTCTTTCTTGAAATCGGTGAATAAACTCAAATTATTAATATGTGATCAAAACAATTCGAAATGTGTTTGTTGTTGAAGTTTCTATTTATTTTTTCAGCATCTCAGTATATTCAGCAGCGGCTTACTTCAAATAATTAACATGTGTCTTAGTCCTATTTATGAAACAAAGATAAGAAAATGATGCTATTTATGTCATATCGTAATGTGTTTTTTTTTATTTCCTCCTGTGCATTTTTATGTTTTCAATCGTATCAACAGCACCCCGCTGTCTCAATCGGAGAATATTTTCCTATTAATTTCCGGCGGTGTCGATCTATTTATCATTCGATTCATGGTCGCTCGTAAATGCATTGACATTGCTTTTGTTGCGATATGCATTTACTGCACGTTTCGATATACAATTTGAAAAGGGCTGCGAGAGTCGAGGACATTAATATACTAACTGAATTCAAATAACAACACATACATGTGGTTATATACAATTAGAAGAAAATAGCAAAGTGTATCAAGACCAAGACCAGGTGCTACATAAATCTTTTTCATGGTTCAAACAGAAGCAAAATCTACAAATCGAAAAAAAACAGTAGTTGGTTTGGTAAAACAGTAGTTTCTTATTCATTGCTGGCGGACCCAAGGAACAATTTGTGATGCAAATTCACCCATTACCAGGCACAAATTCACGGTCAAATTTGGACCCGGATTTG